GCAGGAGTGGGGAGAGGGATCGGAGCAGTCAGGGGACAGGGAGCAGAGGGGTTTAGATGGGTTGGGAGTTCTGGGGGGGGGCTGTCAGGGGGTGGGGAGTGGTTGGATGGGGCGTGGGAGTCCCAGGGGTCTGTCTGGGGGTGGGGGTGTGGATAAGGGTTGGGGCAGTCAGGGGACAAGAGGCAGGGAGGCTTAGATAGGGGGTGGAGTCCTGGGGGGCAGTTAGGGGCAGGGGTCCCAGGAGGGGGCAGTCAGGGAACAAGGAGCAGGGGGAGGGTTGGGGTTCTGAGGGGGGCGGGGAGTGGAAGGGGCGGGGCTAGGGCAGGACGGGGGCGGGGCTAGGGCAGAACGGGGGCGGGGCTCCTCCCGTCCTCTTTTTTCCGTGCTGAAATATGGTAACCCTACCTTTATTGGAAGTTTCAGACAAAAACAGAAGTGGAACAGGTCTCACAGCAATTAAGAAAACAAATCCAGAACGAAGAACACCATTCAACCATTAAGTCTTGCTGTATTTGGAAAAAGTCACCCAAATGCTTCTTGAATCCCTAGAAGCTCTTGGGAATGTCTGTACTATCTCCTGAACATAATTGATTGTGTATATGCACAAGGAACAACAAATTTGAGTCTTTTTCAGTAATGATGGTTTTAATATGTCTGTACATACAGTACAGCTGTTTATTAGGAACAAGATGGAGAGCTAATTCTTAAACAAATACCTGCATTTAAAGTATCCCTACAGAAATTCTGTTGAAAAAAATAGGAAACTTTTGTTCTTTCGTGCAAATTTGTCTTTCCGCTTCAAGGAATCCATCAGTTTGGAACAGAGGTTTTTTTGTTTTTTGTCTGCATAGTTATTGAAATTGAATTCCTTCAATGGGGGATTACCATCTTTTTAATAACAGGCACAATTTTGGAATTCACCTTCAGGTTGGCACAGAATTTAAATTTCTATGCTTTAGGAATTCTACAGAGCTCTTCTTCTCAGAAGAATGGAGATTCTCAATCAACAACGACCCCCATGAATTTCA